GGATTTGAGATGGTTCCTGTTCTGCTGTTCACAGTACGGTATGGTCATAGCGGTCAAAGGTCAAAAGTTTCCAATTTAGCAAGAGGGCGCCATTCATGCCTTATTACAGAATTTGCACGCGTAAATCGCAGAGAACGCTATCTTGTGTTTATAAGATCTTTGACAAAAACCAAGTTCATTAGAGAGGGCGCACTTTATTGACTGTATAAAGTATACAAAAAGCGAGAGCATTCCAGAGAGGATGCGATCTAGGCTACAAAAAAAAAATCTGCAAAAAATCTGCACTTGGTGTCAACAACACATATCATCCAATCAAATTTCAAATTCAATGTCAAGTGATCTATACAGACCAATTACAGGCCAGAATTGCCAAATAAGACGCCATATGCAATTTCGTGACGGTAATTCTCAATTATACACGGGTATATTAATCGCAAAATATCAAATAATAAATCAAAATCTTTAAAAATATTCTATTATATAATACTAAGCAATGATTATATTGGACATATTCATCAGTAATACAGACTTTATGTGTAAATTTAATAACAATTATGCCGTTTGAATCATCCTCCAATGTACACATCTTTCGATCAGCTGACATTTTTATGCATCGGACTCGAGAGTCGTAAGATTTGAGAAAATCAAAAAAATTAGCATCAGATCTAATTCATACTTGGCATAGATATTAAATATATAATTCCTAAAATTACAGGATGGTTTTAAAAATTTACAGAGCTTACAAAATAAAGTAAATGATGCTTTATTTCAAAGAAAAAGTTCCGTACACTGTAACTCCGTGACCGATCAATGAAAAAAATATTTTTAAATAGCGCAAGTAAACTTTGACCTGTTTACTTTGTAAATAAGTTCAAAGGTTAGCGAATGCAACCAATAAACGATTTAATACGATTTTTTCTAATCTGGATGCAAGATGCAAAACCAAAACAATCAGCATCGGCGTCGCGAAAACGATAACAGTCCGTGACGTCACTCTTCTAACATACCTATTGTAGGCCATCAGAACAGGAGCAGGCCTATAGCTAGGCTAGGTATGCAGGCTGCCTAGGAACTACCTGTCTAAAAACCAGTCCTCTTAGCCTAGGGCCTGCCCTACTAGACTAGCCCCGGCTAGGCCCTACTAGACTAACTAAGGCTAGGCCTAGCCTAGGCCTAGGCCTAGGCCTAGTAGTACGCCGCCTAGCCCACTCTCGGGCCTTGATTTAATTTCTAAAAAAATACATCCTTACCCCTTTTCCTTCCTTTCTTTGAAACAGTTGTTGTCTTTTTACCCTTCATTGTTCCTATTTGACCTTTCAAAATAGCTCATATAATCATGAACAAGAATTGCTAAGGAATTCATTTCACTGTTTACTTCTTCAAAATTTCCGCCATGCCAGTTTTTTGAGCTATAAGTAAAACATGAACCTAGAACTGCCACGATTATGTTAATGAGCCGTAAAAAAATGTCAGTCCAGTCCGCTGGTAAAACACGATCTAAATCACGATGAAATTCGGAATCACTATACCGCCCTCAATGTGTATGATGAGTTTTGTTTATTTTTCTCTAAATTTGCAATGTGATAACTGCACTGTAAATCCACATCGGTGATTCATTCTCCCATGTTTTGAGCATGCTGCTATGACAGTAAATAGTGCGTAAGTGAACTAACACTAATTAGGCTTTACATCCAACTTTGTGTAACAAAAACATCCGGCTTTTATTTAGGACCTCTAGGGCCTACCTAGGCCTAGCATGCAGTGCCAGTGAACCTTACTGTCGGTGCCTGTAGTAGCTACATCCATCGATTCGTACCTGGTAAAATACATACTTGCAGACTGTTATACCTCAAGGATTTGTTGCATATCTGTTGGGCCTAGCCCTAGATCAGAATCCCATGTCTGGATTCTTTTGTAGTTATCCTGTCTCTTATACACATCTAGATGTGTATAAGAGACAGACTCTATCCTTTCCAATCAACTAGAAGGTATTACATAATATTCATTAGTGCATATTCATTAACTTATAATGCGTTCAATAATATTTATTCTGTCACAAACTTAAATACACACAATAGGTCCACACTATGCTGTACCTTTATTTTATTTATATGGTGCTATGCAAATGTAAATGGTAATATGGTCTATGATATGAATAATTATGAATAAAAGTAACCACATTGTACTACCTCTTACTGTAGTATTAATACTAGATTTTCATTCATACATTTTAGATTTTTTACTCAGTATAATTAATTTTGAGTATACTTTTCACTGCGCCATTGAGTATACTTTTCACGAGCTTATAGTTTACAGTTGGCCTACTGTATTACTGCAGGGCTAGAAAAAGCGGAACTGGCAGTAAGAGACATCATGAAGGTCCCGGAGGCATTTTGGGGGAAAAATTCAAAAAAAATAATCTGTTTACAGATAACATTTGGTGAATTAGGCATTTTATCGAGACATGATCAGAGAAAAAAACATTTTTTTCCAGGCCTTTATTTATACTGACCCAGTATTTTGTGTGTAAAAACACAGTTTTTGAGTTGTACAAAGAGAATGTAAATATCTATGCGTTATGATTTGTATTATTGTTGCCGTACACTAAACTGGAATATTCCATTTTCAAACAGGGAACGTGAAACCATGAAACTAGAGTACTATTTTAAATATCAATCTTTGAAGCAAAGATGGAAAAAAGTTCTCAAGTTGTTGAGTCCTCCTGGATCAGAAGATGAATTTGAAATGCATAACAATTACAAGTCATTAAAAACAGGCCCACAAAGTTCCAGTAAGTTTTACTACCGTTCTGAAATTGTCGTTTTAATACCATCTGGTGGGTGAGACGAGTGGCATATCTAGGGATGCGGGGGTGCATGCTCCTCCAAAATTTACTGTACTCGTCCCCACCCCATCGCCCCTAAAAAATCGTGGCTAAGTAGTTAAAAATCACCTTATTTTGCGAATTAGCGTCCCTCAACTGATCATCGTCAACTGATCATCGAGCCCCCCCCCCCACTTCACCTTCGCTCCCCCATCAGTACCCCCATTTCAAGATCACTGCTCATTTTATTTATTTTTTTTATTATTATGTTGTTGCGTAAGCGCCTCAGAGTTGTTAACATAGGAGCTACAGTATAAAAGTATAATTATTATTATTGTTTTATCATTATTTTTGATTGGTACTATAGTTATTTGATATTTAATTACTGTATGATCTTTGTTGCTCAATAAAAATTTTTTTGATTTTACCAAAAAGATGGGGTACTATTAAAATGATTTCTCTTTTGTTATTATGAAAATAACTTTATAAATATAAATACCAATATTTTTTAGATCATGCTCTGCAAATTGACGAAGCCCAACAAGAAATATTGAAATTTCAGGGAGACGTCTACGCAAATAGACAGCCACTAAGGGAAGATGATGCTTCTTCCATTAAGAAATATATAAGAATCATTGACAAAGATGTCCCTCGAACCGATAGAGAGCACCCGCTCTTTGCGTAAGTCATTTTTTCACCCACTCTTTTTGTAAGTCAATTTTTCACCCACACTTTACTAAAGTCAACTTTTTATTTTATTTTTTTATTTTATTCTTATTATTTCTTTAGGCACACAATACATGTGCCAAGGATTGCCAATAGCGAATATATCACTGTCCTACTTGTAGGTGACAATCCCTTTACACAAGGCAAACATACACACACGATGCTTTACACAAACTAAATCTCAATATGAGATTTAGGGAGTGGAGTTGTTTTGGTCGTGAGAAAAATTCCTGCAACACTGACAGGAATTGAACCCAGGACCCTGGGATTGGAAGGCAAGCATCTTAACCACCAAGCTATTCAACTCCACTTTTCACCCACTCTTTACGAAAGTCAATTTTTCACCCACTTTTTACGTAAGTGAATTTTTCACCCAGTTTTTGAGTAACTCAATATTTTACCCACTCTTTGCGTAACTCAATTTTTCGCGGAGCTTTATGTATACACGTCATATTTTACTAGTATGTAACTGTTTTATTGTGTATTTTTGTAAATTAAATTACTATATTATTAAATAGCATATGTTTTCATTATTTATTTTGGGATCAACAAGGACCAGTGGTTAACCTGATCTAGGGGCAGTCCTGACCAAGAAGGCCTATAAAAGTGAATACAACCAAGGATAAGTTGTAATTGTTAAAATCACAGAAAAAATGAAATTTTAATTTCCAAGATTGAATGAATTAATAAATGAAAATTTTAAAAAATGGCATATATTGAACTGATGCTACTTTTTCATAATATTGTTTTTCTCATTTAGAATACATTTTATAAAGGAACATTAAAATAAATAAGAATATTATTTATTTTATTTAATACATTATTAATGTTTCAATGTTTCCTTTCTGTTTCTTCAGAGGTGACAAGAATCCAAACCTAACACTTCTTCGTGACATTCTCATTACGTTTGCAGTTTTCCATCCAGGTATGTTGTTGTCTTGTGCTGGTATGTTGTCATTTAATTAAAGGAGAGGGACACAGTCTCCTAAAAGTGAAATTTTCTATAATTTTGCTAAACAGAAATTAACATATAATAACCTAAAAAATTAGTCTATCTCTTAAAATGCTTCCTAGAAATGTTGGAAAATCCATTTCGGGATGTCGATAAACTTGGTTTTTTTCGATTGGAAGCATCCCAAAATTGGATCGCCTCTTTCTTAAGACTAGTATGTAGGCCTACCACTCCATTTAATTACCATTCATTATTTTGTGCATAATTAGGTGTTCATAGATTTGTTTAAAAAATGTGTTTTAATTGTTTATGCTTTTTTCTTTTAGATGTGACATATGCTCAGGGAATGAATGATATTCTAAGTCGGTTTCTAGTAATCCTGCAAGATGAAGTGGAGGCGTATTGGTGTTTTACTTTCTACTTAGAGAATGTGTACACCGATTTTCTAGAATCTGGAATGACTAGAAAATTAGGTAAGCTGTGCATGACTGACAGAAGACCTTTGTACAATTTAAATTTATATAAGTGAGAGATAGTTCCAATATTCTGATTAATAGCTTTGTGAGATAGCAATTGAATTGGGTATGATAACAATTGTGTAGGTTTCTATTGTTTCGTGTGTTATTTCAAGGTTATTTTTACAAGGAAATTCAGTTAAAAAAATGTTTCCTCCTACTGTGTTTTCTGTGTCATTGTAGTTATCTGAGGAACAGGCTCATTGCTTCATGTATGATCATAGTATGATAATTAGTCGATATATGATCATAGTATGATAATTAGTTCATATATGATCAAAGTATTATAATTAGATAATATGATCAAAGTACGATAATTAGTTCATATATGACCAAAGTATGATAATTAGTTCATATATAATCAAAGTATGATAATAAGTTCATATATGATCAAAGTATAATAATTAGTTCATATATGATCAAAATATCATCTGTAAGTATGATCATGTACTGTAAAACCTTGAATTGAAGCCCAGCAGGCTTAATCTCAAGAAGAAGCTCATCTCGAGTTGAAGCCCACCTTCTGCGTTTGCAAAATTATCCTCAAAAAGAAGCCCATTTCGAAAAGAAGCCCATGGGGTGTTTTTTCAAGATAGCATAGTCTTCTTTTCATGATTGTACAGTACATACACTGTACATGAATTTCAAAGAAACAAAATAAATTTAAAACACGATTGGTTTATATAGTTATTTAATGCCGGAAGTACTGTACTCACTATGGTACAGGTTGATGTTACAGTAACTATATTTATTGTTTTATAGCAGTAATTTCCAAAATGTATATAATGTATAGCATTCATTTTGAAAAGAAGGCCCCCCCCCCCCTGTTTAATTTGCAAAATCCAAAAAGAAACCCATCTTGAAAGAACCCCATCCAAAGTTCAAAACAAAAAAAACGAAGCCTAGGGCTTCAATTCAAAGTTTTACGGTTTGATCATAGAGTGGTATCATGTTTAGTGGATCATGAATTATCAAAGCATATAATGTTCATATATGACCAAAGTACAGTATAATAATTAGTTCATATATGATCACGGTATCCTGTGAGAGTATAATCATATATGATCATACAGTGGTATCATATACAGTAAGTGGATCATGAAAAATTCATAAGAGGATCATAGGAGTATGTATATTCATAAGATTACACAGTGGTGGATTCAAGAGGGGGGGGGGTTTAGCCGGCCATTGCCCTCCCCCCCCCCATTAATTTTATCTAGGATCATATATGATTAAAGGATGAACATATATTATCAGCATATCATAAGATCATAGCATTACATTACTTTTTATATATCAACTTTTCGTTGTCTTTTTTTTTTCAGAATTGTTAAGGGATCTATTAACTGAGATAGATAATACTTTAACGAAACATCTGGACACCTTGGAAGTGGGGGATTTAATGTTTTGTCACAGGTACTGTGCAATAAACTATTATTGCTTGTTTTGAATTTTAAAATTTAAATGTGAGGCATGTCGTGGCGAAATAGTTAAGTTGTCGCACAAAATACCAATAACTTGAATTTCAATTTTTGCTACTACTTAGCCATTTTTCCACAACCTGCCTCATATAGATCTACTGACTTGCTACCAATGTATTTACAGTACAGTAATATATCACTTTAGTAGCTCCTTAGTTTTATTATTAGTGCAAAATTGTGTGGGGTGGATGCAGGAAATACTTAAATGGAGTGGAGTTGAATGGCTTAGTGGTTAGGTGCTTGCCTTCTAATCCCGGAGTCCTGTGTTCAATCCCTGTCACAGCAGGACTTTTTCTCACAACACCAAAAACAACTCATACTCTCTAAGCCTCAATTAAAGACTTGGTTTATAAAGCATCCATCCATCCTGTAAGGGGTGAGTGTACTTGCTGTGGGATGGGAAGGAAATTTTTTTTAAATAAATAAATAAATAAACATGATAATCAGTATTGTATTGGCAACTTATCCCAAGAGATAATTGCATAATATTCATCCTAAAGGGATTCCTTGTTGATCCGGTTGGGAGGAACATTTTCTGAGATGACTAACGCAGGGCACTTACTCCGTTGTGCGACAGCTGTATGACCATCAAACGACAAATCTAACTCCGCTCCATGTAAGCGGTAGACGACGTGATGTCATCTGTAGATTATCGTTAGCAGTGTGAGCGAATCGTCACACGTTGTGTTCTTTATAGAATCGCGTTGGCCGATGACCGTCTCCTACAGTGAGTGCCAGGCTTAAGTAGTCCAATTCTAGAGTGGCAGTTTTTGTATTGGTACAGACAATTTCTGTTTTCTGAATTGCCATTTTCTCGATGTTTCTGTGTGCATTATATGATAATCTAATGATGTATTTAAACCAACCTTGAATGGAAATGTAGATATAGCATATATAATTATAAGATAAGTCTGATCTAACTCCAAAAATATTAAAAAAGGCAAGAGGCATACAACACTAGTTCTGCAAATGTCCTGTACTTAAATACTGTAAGCCTGATACAAAATATAACGATAGTTTGTCCTATCGCAGAGCCCATTTGTAAAATATTCCAAACCAGATCACAAAATCTATTTCCTCTTTTAAAATTTTAATATGCATTATATATTATATTATTAAAAACAGAATGTTTCTTTCATATTGTTGTAAGATCAGCTCATATTGCCAACCTGTTGTACAAACTACATATAGGGAAACAAACTAATCAAAATCATCTACATCATAGATAGGTAGTCTTCGGTTTCACCAGGAAATTATATAGACCAAGGAATAGAGATCAGGTCAACAAGGACGTTGAACCCATCAAAGTGATAGTAGTATTTTAAGGAATTCTAAATTTATCAGAAAATGCGGATCATCATTTTGTCAATGCCTAAACCAGCGTCAGTGACCTAATCAAGAAAATTGACCTTTTTAATATATTCATATTCTCCACATTATAAGCTTTAAAATAATGACCTTTTTAATATATTCACATTATAAGCTTTAAAATGATGACCTTTTTAATATATTCACATTATAAGCTTTAAAATGATCTAGACTATTGCCAAAGTTATGAGTAAATTGCAGCTTCTCTGTTCTAAAGTGTACTCAGTTTAACATTTAACGACAGTGCGCTGGTTTGGAAATCACAAGCCTCAGATTTTCTATGTCCACTACAAAAAAGCCACTGTAATATGTTTATGTATGAGTATGCAAATGAGGTTCATGCATAATTCATGAGATGTCACAGGAATATATTGATTTTATGTAGATGGTTGCTGTTGTCCTTCAAGCGGGAGTTTGAATTTGATGATGCTGTCTACTTATTTGAGATCATTAGTAGTCATCATCTTGAGTTGTCTTCCTTAGAAGCAGAGCGTGTAAGGCAACAGGAAATTGCCAAAAACTTCCAAGAATCTGCAGGTAAGGCAAGACTTTTTAATGCCTTTTTTAGTGAACCCACCACCTGCCAATAATGGTAATTTCCAACAAAAATAAAATTTATTGTTGGCCAATTATTGCGCTCGCTCCCACCAAAAATAGAAATTTAAGAAACAAATTAAAGTTTTTCGTATCAAATTTTCAATTGTTATAAATACTGTAGCTTTTAATGTATTTTTATTAATTCAAATTGTGATGTTGATGTTTTCTTTTAATTAGTTCCCTCTTTGTTGTATTGTACTTGTTTCTGTGATTGAGCATAAAAATAAAAACAAATAAACAAAAATAAATTTGTATTTTGTGTGAAACAAAAATTTTTTTTATTTATTACCAATTTTAGGTAGCAAACAACATGAGTGTATGAGGAGTATGAACAAGGATTTCACCTTTGAACTATTCCTGAGCGCCACCATTCTGAAGCGCAATCGTGACAAACTGCTCGGTTGTCAAGATGCGGCCTCTGTGTTCCAGTGTATTTGTGCGTAAGTGACGTTATTTGTTCGTGTAGATACGCCACGGATCTATTTCATAATGATTTAGTCACACCGATACAAACCTAGAATTAGGACAAGCACAATACTCATTCTCCATGTGCTGAAGATGAAAGAGTGCACGGAATCATGTTTGCTATCCAGAAAACATTATTCTTCACATTTATTTTATTTCATTTTTTGAAAGTTTTATATACTTGATTTCATTTTTTATATAGGTTTCATAGTTATTTAATAAAAGTATTTTTATGTTAATACTGTAGTTTCTGATATTTTGAAATTGAATGTGTTCTGCTTTGTATATAGTTTCATGTTTTAAATTTTTATTGAATGATTTAATATTTACAATGAATAAAGTTTGAATTAAAACAAATGGTTACATAAGGATAAAATAATGTCAACATTTTGTTTAAATATTCACAGCTTAACTAAACAAATGGAGGTGAAGGTTCTACTTATTGAAGCTGAAAAACTATTGTTAAGTTACTGTCGAAAATCAGTTCGAGAATATCCCTGAGGTAATTGATAGAAGAGAGACGTGTGGGAAGATTGGCAAATTGAAGAGGCTGTATGTACGAATAATGTAAATCCTTGAAAAAGCGCCGCTCTCGAACAAGCACCGCACCCAACATTTTTTGTGCCGTTTTTGAATAAGTGCTACGGCGCCATGCCAATATTTCTTTGTTGATAAGCGCCGCTCTCAGATAAGCACAGCACTGAAGCCTAAAAAAATGTTATAAGCGCTGCGGCTCTTATTTGAGGATTTACGGTATGCGAAAAGAGAACTGCCATTATTCTTAGCACAACTGAACATTGATAATTGCATTTTTTTAGTGATCACTGATTGATTAGTGATTGATCAATTGATTAATGAGAAAATGAGGAGATTGGATGGGTCTGTTGTTATAAAAGTTAAGTTGGAATACTTTTCCTAGAAATGAATGTTTGCAACTCTAGTGTTAATAGTCCTATGCAACATCCTAAATATTAAATTATATAATTGTATAATTGCCAAAACATTCACAACTCTTTTTTGTTAAAGCCGGGTACTCAATGAATCATACGATAGTCGTACGACCGGAGAATATACCTGCACTTCCCGGGAGTACTTGACGACGCAAAGCCGTCTGCTGATTGTGAGTGGCTGTCTAAACAGATTGTCATAAAAAACAATCACATTGGCGTACGACCATCGGGCGCGAGTGCCCAGCTTACATGAGACATGTGGTCCGAATGTATTGTTATTGTAAAAGATGCTTCCAAATTCTCTCAGTACAGTACAGTTGTACTATGTTTACCAATGATTTTTATAAGTACTTTTATCAGGAATGTACTAAATGTTTTCAAAAAGCATTATTCAGATGTAAATATTTTTATAATTTTGCTAAGTTTATAATACAACCAGTTTATCACACTAAAAGTGATATAGTGTGCAACCTCTTGCTATTATTAATAATAGTGCTAACATCAAGCCAGTATTTTTAGCTGCCATTTAGTGTAAAGCTGCAACTTTTCCTGGCTTCCAATACCATGGTCATGGGTTCAAGTCTTGTCTACTCCCTAAGCCTCATAATGAGCCTTAGTTTATCAAGCTTCACTTTTAATTTACAAGTGGAAGATTACTTGCTGTTGAATCAAAATAGAATACAATTTTAAAAGAAAAGTATATTTATAAATTTCTGTAATATTTTATGTTTAATCAGCTTTAAGAAGGGTTATTAGATCACCTTAGTAATCTTGAATCTATAACGAGCAATTAACTTTGTGTAGTTGTTGGCAGAACCAGCTTTTTAAGTTTGTACCTGTGCTCAGGTTACGCATGACTGCACATTGTTTAAACATGATAGTGAAAACTATGACAATCAATACAGTCAAAACTTCATCTAACACTTTAATAGAAGGTATTAGCTTTAAATCAAAATTTAGAACAAAGTGTTTTCCTCATGAATTAACATATAATACATTTTCCTAATGCACAGAATCTTGTTTTACTACTATTGCGGTTTGTTATAGTGAACTACTAAAATTTTTACTAGTTTTCAAGTTGGTTTTCGATCTCCATGGAGACGATGCCTGCTTGATGCGAGTCTCATTTCCATGTGTTGTGGGATTTAGGTGGTCAAAATTTAATAAATAATTGGTAAGCAATTTAAGCTTTATTAATGCTACATTCCAAACAAACGGTTTAAATACCAAATGTTACTGCATATATGAATATTGGTACAGTACATAAAAGTATTTAGTATTAGTGTTATAATTCTAATGATTTGTTATACATTGTATTTCAGTGCAAATTTGTTTTGGCCTTTTAAATAGCAATAATATTTAACATGATCTGTGTCGGAAAACACTAGCACTGATTGCTTGTAAATACTCTAAGATATGCTATTATATAGAGAGACCCAGAAGGTGGTTAGAACAGATAACTACAACTCTATGGATTTACTCTAGCCATGCTATGTTAGGCAAAATACTAATATTAGTTGAACACTTTCACTGACTGGTTTCATTATTATACTGCAACCATAGAGTTTTAACCTAGTTTGGCCAAGTGATGGAACACTTTTTTGTATTATAAAAAAATTAATAAGTGGGGAATATAAGTTAAGCAGTGATAGTGGTCGCTATTTGCAGCTGGTTTTGACCTAGCAAATAAGTACATTATGGATATTGGTATGTAGCTACAAGAAATGAGAGATTATTATTCAGATACATAATGACAAAAAAAACAATACATTTTGCAAATCTGTGCTTCAAAGCTCTGTATTTTGAAGTTTTATACTTATTTAGAGATAGTACTGTATCGATAAATGGCCATTGCTTGTGAAAGTTGAATCCGTCTTGTGGCCTGTGTATTATGTGTGCTGGATGAATGTAACATTAACATAATTATATATTTTCAGGTAGGCCTATGTGTACTGGACAATTTTACAGCTGAATTGACTATATATTGTCATGTAGCGCGCCCCTCTCCCCCCCCCCCAAAAAAAAAAATTCTTTTTATTTTATTTGTCAGTGATTATTTATATGTCCAACTTGAATGGATGCAACTTATTTATGCAGTATATATTTTACATTGACTAATATTAGTAACAGATTATTATTTTAGAGTATTGTATTAATGTTAAGTAGTAATAAACGTACTCGATTGAAACTGGGAATTACCGATGCTATTTATGCTGTTTTTTATTATTTCAATTGTAACACATGCTGGAATAAGTTCACAGATTCTTACTGCCTCACATCATTTTCTTAGTACCCGTATAAAACCATCCTGGGGATGCAGGGTAACCATGTTTACGAGCCCACATTATCATTCATTCTTACATTGGGTTTAGGATCTGTAAAGTAGTGGTGTAACAAGTCTTTGAATCGGAATTTCTCCTTATTCAGGAAACACGCTAAGGGGAGAGGGGTGGGGAGCATTGATATTAAGATGAGTTAATGTCTTGACATGATGCTCCATTCAAAATGTCGGATCGAGCTTGTGTCAGTAAAATATTTTGGCTCACAAAGTGTCCAAGATTTGGATAAAACAAAATGACTGAAAAGATATCTATTAATTATTCATCTGCAATAAAGCAGCTTTTGTTTTTACACAAAAAAACCCGCTAACTGTTCGTCGTCAATCAATTGATATTTTTAGCAATAGATATTGGTCGAAGCCTTTTGAGGCTCCATCGATCATTTTATCCCCCCCCCCCCCCCAAAAAAAAAATTCTTTTTATTTTATTTGTCAGTGATTATTTATATGTCCAACTTGAATGGATGCAACTTATTTATGCAGTATATATTTTACATTGACTAATATTAGTAACAGATTATTATTTTAGAGTATTGTATTAATGTTAAGTAGTAATAAACGTACCCGATTGAAACTGGGAACTACCGATGCTATTTATGCTGTTTTTTATTATTTCAATTGTAACACATGCTGGAACAAGTTCACAGATTCTTACTGCCTCGCATCATTTTCTTAGTACCCGTATAAAACCATCCTGGGGATGCAGGGTAACCATGTTTACGAGCCCACATTATCATTCATTCTTACATTGGGTTTAGGAAACATCTGTAAAGTAGTGGTGTAACAAGTCTTTGAATCAGAATTTCTCCTTATTCAGGAAACACGCCAAGGGGAGAGGGGTGGGGAGCATTGATATTAAGATGAATTAATGTCTTGACATGATGCTCCATTCAAAATGTCGGATCGAGCTTGTGTCAGTAAAATATTTTGGCTCACAAAGTGTCCCAAGATGTGGATAAAACAAAATGACTGAAAAGATATCTATTAATTATTCATCTGCAATAAAGCAGCTTTTGTTTTTACACAAAAAAACCCGCTAACTGTTCGTCGTCAATCAATTGATATTTTTAGCAATAGATATTGGTCGAAGCCTTTTGAGGCTCCATCGATCATTTTATTTATATTTATTTATAATGAATTTGTGGCCCCTTATGTCTGGGCCCTGCGTTCCATTCCCCCCACCCCGGAGAGCTCACTGGGCATAACGCCACTGTGAAAGCTTGGTCAAGCACAGTATTCAATTTTATTAAATATCAGTGATTTGCCCATGTCATATCACACCCATCTGTTGTCAAATTGCACGTACATTGATCATATGTGCTGGGAAAAGAAGGCGGCTTGTGAAAAAAACCATCTCCCGACGATTTCATTTTTGTCTTAACCTCAATTTATTCATTCTGTTTTTTGTTGAAATTCTTTCTCCGGTATATTCTTCTTACCCAACAACCCAAATAATATTTACCATTTACCATAAAAGATCAACAATGCTGATTTCTAAACATAAGAAAAGAAGACTAAGATGGACAGGGCACATGTTAAGGTTACCAATGGACACCCAGGCCAAAGTTGTTGGGAAAAGTTGGCAGGCCAAAATACAACATGGGTAACAGCAATGAACAAGGAACTGGAAAAATGTAAATACTGTGCATCCATTGAAAAGTTAATGACAAACCGCCAGATCACTGAAAGAGAGACTTGGAAACGATTAACGTAACAAAAACCAAAACGAAACAGCGTAGCAGATGAGATAATGATTTACCTAGACTTTCAAGTCCATAACAATGATAAAATAGATGATGTATTCAACTTTGTACAAGAGCTATGACATTTATACATAAAGCTAAACAAACATGAAGAAAATGAAAACACATATTAATAGTTTCCAATTAATTCGGAATTTCTTACATTTACTATATCGTTTTCTGTTTCATGAGATAGGTCGACTAAATAAAGACAAGATACAGAATGATTGACTGTGAAATGAATTTTAATTTTAGAAATTTCATAAGGTTTTGTGAATGGCTATTTTAATACCATAATTATGAGTTAAATATTTGACAACGTTCGTTTCCAAAGATATTTAGCTGAGTTCTGTCAATCGCACACGAACTTGATTCCATTAGAAAAAAATATGTAATACTGTATAATGAAATACTAATCCATAAAACAAACTATCTTAGCTATGACCTTAGTCAAGATTACTGTCTTTGCAAAGAAACTGATTATTATGCAAAAGTTCATATTTTAAAAAATGCATTTAAACACTGCTCTGACGTCACTTGACGTAATGCATTTCATTTTCGTTGTTACAATTTATTACTAACACTTAATTGCAAGGAAATGTTTGCAAAAGAATAAAACGATTAACAAATATAGGTTTATAAGTATAAAAAAAAAAAAACCACCTGCTCTTTCATTGAAATGAAGGCATAGTGTTAATCCCAAAATATTATTGCATCATTTATTTTGATATAGTATCGACATAATCGCAAGTGGAACCATGGTAACTAAGACGCAGAGCTGCCCCCAATTATTGACGATTCCTCTGAAGGAAGTTCATCCTCTTCCTCTACTATCTCCGTTACGACTGAAACGATTTTGGTTGTATCTATCTGTTGCTCTATAGAAAAAGAACAGAGTATACTAGGTTAACTATTGTACTGAAAAGCCTGGAGATGTAACACATCCAGCTTCTAAGCACCATGGAAAACGATTTGTTTAATCAGTTATGGTGCCGTTCAGACTCAGTGCTGTCCAGACTCAGTGGCGTCGAGAGGGGGGTCAGGGGATCGCTGCCCCGGGGCCCGGGTCTACTGGGGGGCCCGGACCAAGATGAAAAATTTTCGGGGTAAGAACAAAATCTCCATAGGGCACGAGCCCAAGCCAGGATGAAAACTTTTGTTGTCAGATTTAGGAGGAGACTTAATTTGGGGGAGGAAACTAATTATTTCCTAAACTAATTCCTCATTGTGTCTATTTTCTTTTAAAAGACGCCCTCTAGTGGTAGTTTTCAAGATAGGATGATTCCGTTTCAAGGAAACCTCAACAGTGGCACCTCTTGCCATTCCATGGACCTATTCTATGCTGTTTTTGGTAAACTATTTTATCGTAGATTTTCTAGACCGAACGCAATAAACATTGATATATAAAATATTTGTAAATCTTGTAAAATATGTTACAGTATCTACTTACGACATGCTGGGCCTCCAATCCGGCTATAATCTTTGAGTTGTGTTCCAACCGGACATTCGGTTTGACCGTCTTTAAGTAGTGTGAAACCTGTAAAATCACCATTAAAATATTACAACCCAGTAAACACAAATTATTATTCACGAACTTGGTGAACATTTGCACAGTTTAGTCGCTGTCTCTTATACACATCTAGATGTGTATAAGAGACAGCTGTCCAGACCATCAAATCAGATTTAACAAAATCATGTGACATGCCTAAAATCACCTAATGGATATATAAGACACATCATGACTATGGGCATACCACAGTTTTTGGTGTAGACCCTCGTTCCGCAACCATTTTAGCCCACGACCCAAAATATATGTTAAGCACTCTGACGCGACCCATCGAACCCGAAGTGATTAAAATGTCCGTCGTTGTATGCGCGCGAAGGATAGCGGGAAGAACCCCCCTCTTATCTTGATTCTTTTGTGAATTGATTAAAAGATATTATCACCCACAGAATCACTTTGTAAAACCCATAAACATGAAAATATATATCTTGAATTACTCATTTAACAAAATCACGTAAGTTATCACATTTTCAGTAAGTTAAAACATTAAAAAAATTAATGATTAACAGACATTTTATTATAGATTCTTAGTGCTGCCAGAAATTTATGTGTTATGACACAGACACATTAAATTGAAAAATGTTTTCTCAATATAATGCAGCTGAAAGCCTAACACACTGAAATGAACAAAACCAATACTTTAAAATTGTCATACCTGAAGTACAATGTTTTGATAGTATATTTTTAACATGAAACAAAATTAAACTGACACAGTTGTCACACTTAAATTTCACTTTCGTTTGCTGTAATTTTGTTTGTTTTCGTTCGTGTTAAGTAGAGTTTTCACGATCTGAAGAGATTATGCGACCTATCAATTTTTTTTTTCGCGACCCAAACATTGGGTCGAGACCCATAGGTTGCGGAACGGTGGTCTAGACAAAGCTTTGAAGCACTGAATGAAGTTTAACGAGTCTGACCAACTTATAACAATATATACATCGATATTTTCGTTTTAGGTTTCATCAATTGCATTTTAGAAGAAATAAGGAGGTTTGATACCTTCTACGCGCATGTCCTCAGTTAAGAGACCAATTAGGGACAAAAAAGCTGCTAGTTTTTAGTTATTCTATGATGATGATCTATCATGATGATGGTGATTACGGGATGATGATGGAAGAGAATCGACCGTTCAGTCAAGTCCCTTCGGATATTGTTACAAATGTCCCACAAAAAAGTTACGTGCGTTTATGGGACAACAGGTGTTTGTAAAACACGAGCGTATTTTGACCCTTTTTTGACTTGTCAGTTTTTAAGTTTGATTGACATTTCGGAAAGGTCCATTATGTAAACTGTTTGCAATTTGTCCATGCTTAGATGCTATTAAACAGCCAATTAATTTGCTATAAATTACCAATTTTAATGCATTCTTCTTCCGCCAATGCACCTGTATTGATGGTACTCAGGCCGTTGGGGCATGTTACACATGAGTCACTTGCTGTAGAGTTCTGATAAGTCCCTGCAGGGCATTCTACACACACAGCCACATTATCAACCATCTCACCGAACATTCCCCTCGGACAGTCAACTACATAATACAATCAAAAAGTATCGATATAATTAATAGTGTGAATAGAGCTTAATTAAGTAACAGAATGACAAGGTCTGATTTTGCAATTAAACGAAACAAATAGAGACGCTCTATTATCATTCGGATAAGTTCAAAATTACAAACGCCTTTAGGTGTACTGTACTTATATCATGGAGGAAACTAATTATTTCCTAAACTAATTCCTCATTGTGTCTATTTTCTTTTAAAAGACGCCCTCTAGTGGTAGTTTTCAAGATAGGATGATTCCGTTTCAAGGAAACCTCAACAGTGGCACCTCTTGCCATTCCATGGACCTATTCTATGCTGTTTTTGGTAAACTATTTTATCGTAGATTTTCTAGACCGAACGCAATAAACATTGATATATAAAATATTTGTAAATCTTGTAAAATATGTTACAGTATCTACTTACGACATGCTGGGCCTCCAATCCGGCTATAATCTTTGAGTTGTGTTCCAACCGGACATTCGGTTTGACCGTCTTTAAGTAGTGTGAAACCTGTAAAATCACCATTAAAATATTACAACCCAGTAAACACAAATTATTATTCACGAACTTGGTGAACATTTGCACAGTTTAGTCGTCATGAACTGACCTTAACACAAAATCGGAGTTTAACTGGAAAATCAATCCATAAATACGCACTGAAGAGGCGCGCGCCTATTCATGGTTTTAAAACCAAACTGCAAAGTTACTTTAACGTATAAGTGTTAACCTCAAATGTTAAACAATACAATGCAATTAATACATTCCTTTTGCACACAATGAAATAATGTATTGTGTATACTTGCTGATTTAATATCGCTAAGCCCATTCTAACTGCACATACCCGTATCCATGATCAATCGATACAAACCACAAATTAGCTTATTGATCTGAAATTTAGATGAGTCGGTACCCTCTCGTAGCTTCAACTGCGCATTTCTATTATAAATTTCAAGCGATTTAACCATGGACCTATTAATAAGTTAACTATTCACAGAGCACGTATAAAATGAAAGTGCGGTATGCTTACGAAGTATTGTGTGTGATACCTGGATTTTGTATAGGCCTATGCATTGGATATGAGATACATGCAAATTTGAAACTGCGATTCGCCTATTAAAAGTTTTTGAGAAATAACACATTAATACCAGTACAATCGGGTATGTTTCTACTCGGATCCCATACGGCATTTGCTCCGCATACATACAGGCTTTTGAGTACTCCATCGAAAAAATAGAACCCTTCGTTACACATAGGATTGCATATCTCCCCAAACAACCATGGTCCGCAGTTAGGTCTACCGTTTAGTGGGCCGTTTGGTACACCGCAGCTCTTGGCTGAAATGAATACGCACAGACTGTCATATTTGCTATGTCAGGAAATTATGTGTTAAGGCTTATTTTAAAGTAAAATTTCCATTATTTTAAATACAAAATGAATGAATTTACAAATTTTATCACAATATGACAAATCGACTGATGAATAAATATAGAAGGTTTATTATATTTTTTTATACAGTAACTAAGTTGTCCATAAACACAAAAATGTTAACATATTAACGAACAACGTTAAAGATTATTCTCAACTTTATTCCAATGCGTGCGATCGAATGGCTCGATTCAACCAAGTGTACTTTCGAATCTTACCAACTATAATGCCATCATTCGATTTCCTCAAGGTTTTGCGTAATAAGAAATTCATTTTTGGTATTGAATTGGTATTGAATCATACAAATGTAATGACTTACGTTCAATTTTTATTTCAAATACGCAGAATGCAATGTTGTTAGATGCGTCTCTCGCCTCGTATGTGACTACAAAAGTTCCCCAGGTAAAACGACCGTTTGGACTCTGTATACATAAAACTCACTGAATTGATTCTTTTTGAGGTTCGTTATAACAAGATACATTTCATTGCACAGTTATCGAGCATCTAGAGTAAGCTTTTCAAAAGGCTAAAATGAAGTAGGCTATTACTAATTCGGGTCGTATTTATGACAATGGAATTAAATACACATTATGTTTCAATTTACACATTAAACAATGACAATATATACTCTTAATACCGTATTTTCTGTTACCCTGAAGTCTAATGTAGACTGATTAATCTTGTTGATGAAACGTTTACTGGATAAACTAATCTACAAATACTAATAACAACGCCAATTGATTTTGACATGCATAAATACATGCTTAATGACATTACCTTTCAATATGTATTTTTCATAATTTAATTATATTAATATAAAAAGTCATAACTTACTATTGAGGTTGAATTTTTGGTAACCATGACATTGTCTGTTACTATTGGCTCTTGCCATGTTACCGTAGGATATTGCTTTTCAGTCAGGACGACAAAGTTATCTGGACACTGGGAGAACTTAGGTGGCTCTTCGTCTGTTGAAATTATATAACTTGGTTTTTATCATGATATCGTAATTAGCATTCATACTTTTGAATTTATTCATTTTGGCAAATACAACACAAATTAATTAAATTATAATTTAGAAAATTAAAAGTCAGTGGACATACAAATATAAGACTCAAATAAGGCCCAGGTAATTAATATAAGGTAACCACTTAATAAGTCTAAACGAACATTGTGAACAGGCCAGTAAGTAACAAAAGTGAAAAACACAGAATATCGGTTATTACAAATAATCTAAAGAGAAAAGGAACTTGTATGTGATTATATTGTTATTAGATTTAGTGTCTCTTCTAATAATCGTCTGTTCTAATAGTTGTCGATGTAACTCATTGGTTATGCGTATAATTTGTTTGGGACAAACATCTAGGCATACTTATTAGGTAGTTTTCGCCGCACGACGTTAACCTTAACTTTAATGTTAGTAGGCCTAACCAACATGCAGCGCAATAGCTCTGCCCCTTTTGTAAACAAATCGAAATACGCATGCGCCAACCCGTAACTAATGTACGTCGAGCACGTACAATCCTGTAACGTACTCCGCAACGCAAGATAAATAAATTATGACGTCATCCGTTAACGTTAATGTTACCGTCGTGCGGCGAAAACTGCCTATTGGCACTTTGAAATCTCAAGAAAAGGTCTATAGGAGAACCGTAAAGGCCAACTCAGACCTTGTACGCCGCAGCCCGAAGCGATTCATCGTCGGGGGCAGTCTTAGGCCGTCAAAAAAAAAAATAGATAAATAAATAGATAAATAAATAAACATAAAAACATGTTTAATATTCTACGGCAGGATTGTCCCCGACGCAAACCATCGCGTCTGCGTTTAACTCACACATATCCAGCGCGACAACAAATCGCGTCGGGCTGCTTCGGCGTACGACGCTGTCTGAGTTTGACTTAACAAGTAACCCGAAGCACTGTACCTAAAACTCTGATGTTGACATCACATGTAATGGTGCTATCGTGAGAAAGACTGCCTGCTGTGAATTCCACGTGGTGTGATCCTGGTCCAAACAGTGTATCTGTTGATTTGTCTCTCTCCAAAAATTCCAGATTGTGCACAGGATCTGGAATGTCCACAGTGGTAGCACTCTCGCCTTCAGGTAGTATGACCGTTATTGTGTCATTGCAAACAATTTGTGGTAGAATATCTTTGGATTATAAATAGTAGTAAAACATAAGTATACTCCAGCACGTAATATACGATGTTTAAGAAAAAAAAAAAAAAAAAAAAAAAAAAAAAAAAAGGTTGTGCGTCATATTAGTGACTATCAATGATTTTAATGATTAGCCTTTTTAAAGATTTTCTGGTAATTTGTTTGTTTTTTGTAGTTTTTCTTTTTGCGTAGTTGTTAATTGTGTTTTACTGGTCCCAAGTGGATAGGTAACTCTTCTTGGTGTTCCTTGTAATGAAGGTCTGTTCCGTTGCGCAATATTATGACTATTGTATGTATATTTAATCAATATGTCTGTATGTTTTGTAAAAATGTATGACCTTCAAAGATTTTACCTTTCACACATTTTGGGGGTGCCGATGTCCAGCCCTCAAGCCCTCTACATTTTGAAAACTGCTTTCCATCAATGACGTAGCCCTGTTCACAAGTGTACGCACATCGAGATTTGAACACTTGCGGATTGGTGAGACAGCCAGCGGGAATAACCTCGCCGTGTTCGATTGGTGTCAACGGGGGACACGTCAAAGCTGGAACGATAATAAATTTTTATTGGTTTGGTATCAACAACGTAGTAGACCGGGCCTTTTTAACACTCCCATTTACAACTCCCAGTAGTTTGAAATGTATTGGTAACGCATAAAGCTGGTTTTCCACTAGGTGAATTTATTCGCGCGAATCAAAGGATCGGTTCGCTTCCTGAGCTCTGATTGGTTGCGCATTTTTTCGTTTCGCAAAAACTTCGATATGAATGTGAACGCGCATGCGCATGAACCAACGCTTTCGATTCGCGCGAATAAATTCGCCTAGTAGAAAACTGGCTTAAAGCTTAGGAATAGAGTTTAGTGCGCGTCAACGTTTTTTTTTAATTATTATTATTATTGTTTTATTCTGTGAATTAAATTAATAATCTTCGCAAGCTTTACATTCGTTTTAAAATTTGGTAATTCTATGGCGCCTTGTCTAAAAAGAAATTCACTGTTTTGTTTTTTAATTATGCTACCGATATGTGGAAATGTTGGTGCGACTAAATTGATATCAAGGATCTGTAACTGTACATACATTATGCAAATGCACTTACGACGACAACTAGGAGTTTCACCAGACCATCGGCCAGTGTTCAGGCAAATTCTAGTAGCACGTTCAGTCAGTTCATACCCTGTGTCACACGAGTACTCGCACGTCGTGCCAACTAAATAGACAAAACGTGCAATTAGACATTTTTATACCTTGTTTCGCGAACATATTTTTTTAAAGATCTTTATGAGGAGAGCGAAATAAGATACATTTTGTTTTCTTATTTAGCAAATAGTTTTGCTAAAAATATCCAGACGGAGGAGAAAATAAAAATAAAATGTTATTAGTGGATGTAAACTGTGTAATAATGGGATGATTAGATTCTTTAAGTTTATATAATTAGGAAGAAATAAATATCTCTTATTTTTGGAGTGGCGGTCGTAATAAAAAATTAAGAAAGCCTTTATTTTTTTGTGGCGGAGGGCGCATTTTGGCCCAAAAATAAAATTTTATTTTTATTCAAAATCATCATTATCGGCGGGTGGCGGATTCGTTTAAAATATAATAAAAGTGTCGCCTAAGCAGTGAGTGCCATTATCCTAGACCATGGAGGCCTGTTGATATCTAGCCAAAGAATTTTTTTCTAACAATATACTCCCTCCCAATTTGTGGCTAAGGTAACGAAAATTCGTCTTCTAGAAGTCACAACTGGAACTATTATGAAGGAACATATAAATCAAGTTACTGTATCTTGGTATTTTGAATTAAAATGTCTGGTGGCTCCAGTGACAACTCTGAATCCCACCAGAGAACCCTTTTTATGTATATATATATATATTGAAGATTCAAGATTCTTTATATGTGTCCTTTCGGAAAATCAAATCAGTTGGTACGTCACATCGCAAAACACAGTGCAGGATAAATACTAAACAACAATTACAATAAATTATAACTAGGCCCTAAAACTTATTTGATAGTTTTATCAAGAAGTCTAATGGATAATGGTACGAATGAATTGAGATATCTATTTGTTCTACAGGGTTTTGATTATATATATATATAGTATCAATAAATGAAAAACAGAATACCTACCAATAAGTGAATATCCGTTCTCATTTCCAGTGCAGCGTTTCCTTGGTGTTAGTCTTCCATTATGTGGCACTACCAGTGGACTACATACAATGGCTGTGGATAAAAAGTGGCATATAAAAATATAATTGCAGAAACAAAATATGACTCGTACATGGTGTATGCATCTGTGTTACTGTAGGCTATAGTCCAATTGAAACACAGAAAAGGAGGCAGTCAAAGAAAAAGACCAGATGCACTTCACCCCTCAATTCGAGACCAACTTTAGACCTGAAAACTTAGAGTGGTCTCTAGTTTGGTCCCCACTTGAGGGTTAGATTTTACGCTTCTTAAAAAAGAGGGGTCTCGAATCGGAGGGTGCACTGCAACAAATTTATTTTGTCGAGCAAATGTTAATGATCATACATCAAATTCAAAACTTGAAAAAGAAAAATAATATGGTTTGATAATACCGTCACATGATACACCGTCGTCATTGATCAGAGAGTTCTCCGTGCACCCGCAGTAATATCCACCGTCGTAATTTCTACATGTGATCTCACATTCGCCATTGTTATTAGCACACTCGTCAATATCTAAAACAGACAGAAAGCACCGACAAAGCGGTTTGGAAGCTGGATTTTTTCAACTAACTGCCTATTAAAATGGCCTATAATTATATTCACACCAACGAATGTAAAACTCTTAACATAAAGTTTATAACGTTTCCCACTAAATGAGAATATAAGTCCTACTGACGTGATATCTCTATTTCTTCATTTGGTGTAAAAATAGCTCTTGCTTCATGAATGTCGAAAGGTATTGTAAAAATATGGATATAAGTTAGTTTTCATAATTACAAGTAGATTATAATTCCTTTCAAATAGGTAGAAATGTACCAGCACTTGAGCTTACCTTGACACCTGTACTTGTCGTCTGGGTCCTTCATGTATCCATTGTTGCACGAGCAGTTAAAGCTACCGATTGTGTTGGTACATTGATGCTGACATCCGCCATTCTTTAATTCGCACTCATTTTTATCTGTCGATTGAATAGTATTACGCTTAAAAAGTTTGAAATAGCTATTAGCTTCGTGGTAAAGGGGCAATCTTTAAATGTAGGCCTTTTGATTCTGTCCAAGGTTTTTCGTTTATATGGATTTCCGCATCTGGTCTGAAATGAAGTAGGCATGTTACACTTACGCGCTTAGTATGAATAAAAAAGACAAATAACAAACACACACGCCAAATCTTGTACATTAATTCCACACAAATACCTGAGTAGTTAGTGACGTCACTATGCGCATATATCAATTTAGTGATAATCTTATACGGGTTTAACATTTATATATAAATATAACATTTATATGTAAATAAGAGATTTGCCAACTCACCAACACATGTTTTGCCAGTTTCGTCCAATTCGTAACCGCTTTCACAGACACAGTACGCTGAACCGGGTGTATTGAAACATTGATAGGAGCAGCCAAAATTATCATTAGCACACTCGTCAATATCTAAGAAAAACAACAAAGTGGTTAACATAACTTTGTAAAAACAATAAAAAGGTGTTTGTGCAAAGTTATCAAATGTTATTGTAAATTCGAATGATTGACTAGTTTTCAGAAGTTGCTTTGGTTAACTGATACGTCCAAAAGCTTCAGTGATGGTAACTACGTAAAATTATGTTGTTTTGTTCCGAAATTGAATTGATAGCGTTTGGAAAACTGAAAGCAAAAATTCACCAAGTTACATAATCATAATACAAAATTAATTTACTTTACATAATATAGTGCACCCTCTAATTTGGAACCACATTTGATACATATGGGGGTTCGGTTTACAATTACAGAATTTGATTTGTGCTGAAAGATTAAAGATTGTTAATTGGTATCGAATTAAAGGGGTTTCGTTCAAGAGTGTCATGAATTTGAGGGTACAATGTAATTTATAAATGTCCAGTTCTGCGTTAACAGTAAAATAGTAGCCTGTAATTGAGTATAGGTCCTGCGTCCTTACCTGTACACACTAGCTTAGGAGATGAAGTTGCTTCATAACCACTGTTACAGCTGCAGTGAGTGATACTCGTTTTTGCGGTAGCACCCTTAGTGCCCGAGTTTGCTGGACAATCAAAACATCTATTGGTCCGCTTATTGTAATATGAATCAGGTCTGCATGCTACAAAAAGTTTGATAACGTGTTAACTGTTATTCCCTTGGCCCCCGAATAATCCTTATATTGTTTCTTTTTTGACAATGTTTTTATCCGTAGTGTTTATGTTGTAATTAAGGTGGATGGCGCTGCACTGCGGTTACCATGGATACGATTTCCTATTATCATTATTATACTACTATTGGACGAACCATTTAAAAAAAAATCAATGTTGGTATTTTTTTTATTTTTCTTTTTTCCTCAGAATTCTGAAATCCGAATTTATATATCTCCTATCACAATCCGGAGAATATACCAAGTAAGTATAAAAATCCTCCTATACAAGGCACTGGCGTCAGTATTTGCCTGTTTCCTGGATGGGTACTGCATAAAAGTACAACACATTTATACTACGCCATACGCACTAAGGTTACACTAAAATAAATGTAGGCCTTTCTGTGGCTTTCTCATAAATCTGGTTCGTTTCGCAAGCGCGTGTGATGCAAACGACATCGCAATACGTCAGAACCATTCACTTGATGTTTACATTTTCATGTCTATACATATCAGAAATATTGTGGTGGCGTTACCTTCACAACCACCGCTTGGTGTAGTGATATGGCCATTATGGCACCGGCACTCGTAGCCGCCTTCTGTATCTATACAAACGTGAGGACAGTCATGAGCCTCTTCAGATGCACACTCATTAATATCTTTAAACAAATGGAAAGTTTTTTAGAATTATTATATTTTCAAAATCAAGCAAAGATCTTATAAACACAAGATAGCGTTCTCCGCGATTTACGCGTAACAAATAGAAGCGTCGGTCAAGGTTCAAAAGTTTCCAATTTAGCAAGAGGGCGCCATTCATGCGCTATTATACCAAAGAGAAAAAGTAATCAGTTTTGGAATAGGGCGTCCTATCTGTTGCCATGGATTTGAGATGGTTCCTGTTCTGCTGTTCACAGTACGGTATGGTCATAGCAGTCAAAGGTCAAAAGTTTCCAATTTAGCAAGAGGGCGCCATTCATGGCTTATTACAGAATTTGCACGCGTAAATCGCGGAGAACGCTATCTTGTGTTTATAAGATCTTTGCTACATATGAGCATACAACTTTGCATTCCTGCTTTGTTGTGCATTGCTTTTGCAATAGTGCACTGCTTTTTTTGTAGAGTAACAAATACTAAAGCCGTTTATGTAAGAGTAATATAATAGAAAGAATCATCGATATTCAATATCCCCCACTAATTATTAGGAGAGCAATGAGAGCAAAAATGATAATATTTTTTTGAGAATAATAGGGTTTTATTATGACCTTTAAATTTAATTCAATTCAAATAAACATATATTTTTTTTTTAAATGAATAATAACTTTAAGGTAAGGTACAATATCAATAAGCATAATGGTCTTCGTTAGGTGCGTGTTAAGAACGATTAAAGCTCCAATCACACCGAATCCGAATTCGGGTCGTATAGCTAACGAAACGAAAAAAGAAGATCGAATCAGTGGTAAAGAATAGAAGCGCGTACTAAGACATCACATCGACAACATCCTGCGAACCAAATTCGGATTCGGTGTGAATCCACATTTAAGATATACATTCACACTCTAATCCAGATTTTTCTTATCGGAAACCCTACCAAAGCGATCAGAAAATCGGAACAATGTAAGAAAAGGAACGCTGGCGTTCCGCGCATCGGAAACGCAGTCCTAATTTGGGTTCGGATCTAATGTGAATGCAGCTTTACATGAAGCACAATATCAATAAAACAATAAATCGATTAGTGCGACCGAAATCTCACCTACGCACGAATATCCATTTGAATGTAGCTGGTATCCCGCGTTGCAACTACATCTAAATCCTGTCCCACTACTTTGCGGTATACACGTGTGCTCACAGTTAGCACTTGAACATGCTGATGCTAGATATTTAAGAATGGAAAGAAGATGTTAATCAAAGGAAAATTAAGAAAATTGTGTATTTTCATGGTTGAAGAAACATGACGTTTTTTCATGCCTTCATTAGAGTGTGTACAATATTCATGTACGAATACTTTGGTACGTACGTATACATCTGTGACCATCTGCTGCTAGCTGATATCCATTCCATTTTCCATTTTGTGGACATGAGCATTTATAACTGCCGACTGTATTCTTGCACCAACCTTCACAGTATCCAAATCTTGGTCCGTATCCATGGTCCGCCTTGCATTCATTAACATCTAAATAATAATAATTGATTAATATAACATGATATCGTTTACGTTTTCGTTTGAACATCCCATAAAAGACTACCAAATCCGGCACTGCAACGTCGACATTTCTCTTGAGGTCAAGCTTAACCTCAAGCAGCTTCTCTCGGCTTCCTGGTATTAATTTGATATATTTTTTTCTTTCTGTTGTTTGCTGTTGTGTTTTGTCCTTGTGCTTTTTTTCTGTATCCTTTCCATATCCTTGTTCACTTTGTATGTTTATTTTAGGCTGGCCCAACAAAAAACTTGCCTCAAAGGGCCATCCCTGACCCTCCATTGGCGCCACCAAATAAAACGTGCATATGGGCTTTAACATTAATAACAGGTTTGGCAAGTCTGTATATATTATATAATATAAAACATTAAATGAACGTGCTTGAATGTTAATGACAAAAAATATGTATCTTGTTACTTAAGATGCGATGCTTAATCTTTTATATCGCTTCATTTTTATTCTAATTTTAACTGTTAGCCAAGCTTTCAAGTGTTTTCCCACAGAATTGGGTTTTTTTCAAATATTTTGCCTTTTAATTTATATGTAAATACGGCTCCTTCCCGACCATCATGTTTTCAAAAGCACAGTATTCTGGACTTTTGTACAACAGTGGCGGCAAGATTCGGCAAGCTGAGTTTCTGCATACTGGTCTCTTATACACATCT